CGCAGGGTGCAGGAAAGATGGAGGAGGGGAAGGAGCAGGGTGGAGAGGGGATGGGGGAAACAGGAAGGGGACGAGAATAAATAAATCAGGGGAGTGGGAACTGGTGGGGGTGGGATAGTGAGGATGGTGAGGAGATGGGACCACGGGCAAGCTGACAGTGCAGCACGCGCACGTGGCTCAGGCGTCGGAGCGTGACTTGCCTGGGAGTGTGCCGTCAGGAGTGCAGTCCTCGGGTCCCCTGGCGTCCACACGGCCGTACTTCATCGGAATCTTGGGACCTCCGGCGAGCTGCCACACGCACGTACAGCCGCACACAAGCACGGGCACAGGGGGAAACAGCAAAGAAACAACGATTCTGGGAGTCAGCACGACGGTGCTCATACCTGCTGCGCTGCACAAGACATTCACACGAAACCCAGCGACTGCTCATCCCTGAGAAGTCGAATCAAGCAGCAACTCTCGCGACCTTGGCGAGCCGACTGAGCTCAGACGGGACTAGCACAGTGCACAGAACGTAACCCTGCGACCCTTGGCCCCCATCTGAGAAAATGCCGATGCGGAAACAGGCGAATGTCATGTAACCAGATGCTTGCGAATGTCGAGCAAATGCCTCGACTGCTCATCCCTGAGAAGTCGAACCCCAGCATGACAAGCCTCGACTGCCGTGCGGCCTTCTGAGGCACCGGATAAAGCATCAACATGAACACGGGCTAACCTCGACTGCTATGGCGCTGGCGAGCTGGAAAAGGTCCGCGTAGCTGACGGCGGGGTACTTCTGCTTGATGGGCTCCAGCAGTGCGATGGCGCCCGCCAGACCTGGGGGAGAGAGGGTGGGAAGGCAGGGAAGGAGGGCGTGGGTGGTGAGTGGTGGGTGGTGGGGGAGAGTGGGAGTAGCAGATGAGGTAGGAGCGTAGCTGACGGCGGGGTACTTCTGCTTGATGGGCTCCAGGAGCGCGATGGCGCCCGCCAGACCTGGGAGGGGAGGGGAGAGCGGAAATAGGGAGAGAGCGGGGATGTGAGAGGGAGGGAGAGAGGTGACCGCATTGTGGAAGGGAGGGGGAAAATGGAGGGGGGAAAGAAAAGGGAAAGGGGAGGGGGAAAGGAATGGGGAATGGAAGGGGAAAATTGGAATTATTTAACGGGTGAAGCGTGAGGATGAGCGGATAAAGAAGAGGCATCCGCGAGTGGCGGTAGCCCTGAACGTGGAAAAAGTACAGGAGCTTCTCGCACGAGTGTGCACGGGCCGTACCAGCTTTGGCGCTATGCTCAATCTCGGGCTTGAGGTGGTATGTCCTGAGTCGACTCAAAACGTACCAGCATTAGCGCCGTGCTCGATTTCAGGCTTGAAGCGGATGCTGGCTGTGGCTCCGCCCGCCTCTTCAGGCGCCTCAAAAGTCGTCCTTTGAGTCGACTCAGAAGCCAACTCGGTTTACCGTGACACACTTTCTGAGTGGAACCAGCAGTCAATTCGTACCAGCATTGGCGCCGTGCTCGATTTCGGGCTTGAAGCGGATGCTGGCGGTGGCGCCGCCCGCCTTGGGCCACTCGGCAATGCTCTTGGTGTACGTGCCCGCGTCGTGCCAGCCCAGACGGATCTGCACGCACACGGAAACAAACGGAAGGGAACGGGGGAGGAACGAGAACGAACGGGAACGGGCTTTTGAGATGTCTCAATGGGCGCCTGCCTTGGGCCACTCGGCGATGCTCTTGATGTACGTGCCCGCGTCGCGCCATCCGAGACGGATTTGCGCAAATGCGGAAATGAACGGGGAAGGAACGGAACGATGGCAGGAGAATCTGACTGCTGGAACCAAACAGAAGAGTTTTAAAGGTTCATGACGATATGGTTTTGTTCGTAGGGATTGCGAGGCACCTGAACCGTCATGTTTATTATATATCTAACCGAGTCGTCAGAATTGTAGTGCCCATTATCCTATGTAAACCCTAGTCATACGAAAAAGGTTCCAAAGTACCGACAATCTAGTACCAGGATGGGGCTGCAATGCTTCCCCATAGTGAGCTCCTTCGGATCATTCCTTTTTCCTACATCGAATCTAAATGAGAGAATAATTTCTACAACTCGGCATTCTCGTACCAGGATGGGGTTGCAGTGCTTGCTCTTGATAAGCTCCTTGATCTCGTCCCTGGCTCCGCGCAGCTGCTCCACGTCAGCAGACGCGCGAGCACCGGTCGAGCTCGCTGACCTCCTCAGAAAGGCGGTTCCGCTCAGTTGAGCAGGCGCAGCCTGACGCGGAATGTACGGATTCGTATATTTCTCATTCAGTCTTGCTGAGACTTCTCAGAACGCAATCCGCTGACTTGGTGAAGAATGATTTGCTGGCATATGAGAAGGAACATGCTGACCATGGGATGCACACCTCGTAAAATTCCGAAATTGAAAACTGAAGCATTCTAACCATGGACTGGTACATTGAAATCTTATAGTGCTGGGTAATGGCACTACTAGCGATTTCCACGTTTCGATTCCTGACAAGCTTACACACAGATGTTTGCTGCACGGAATGTCTTACATTGAAACCAGAGCCCAGGAAATCCGACTGTAGCACCAAGGGTTTGCTGAGCGACGCGGTCTTGGATCCCGCGAACGACGCCGAATGCAGCCGCCTAGCAGCAGCACGGAATGGCGAGCGGATGCCGGGGAAAGCAGACGCAACGGCGGACTGGAGATGGACGGCGGCCATGGCGCGGAACGAGCAGGCAGAAACTAGTTGTTCTGCTGTTCTTTGGTGTGTTCAGGGAATATTGCTTTGCAGATATGTCCTTGAGAGATGCGGTTTTGAAGCTTGCTGATTTCTGCAGCTTGCTGACATCAGGGAGATTTCGAATTCCCTTGAAATTGCCTTGAAATTCAAGGGAAATTGCTGGTCAGCCAGTTTCGAGAAATGTACTTTCGCGAAGGATCTGGTTGAGATTGGATTGCAAGCACGGACTACCGAATGGTTATGTGGCACCTGGAAATGTGCCGAGTGTGTCAGCCAGCTTGCCCTGGTTCACGAACCACCTGAACTTTAGGGAGAGCCAGCGTGGAGAAGCTCATTGGCTCGATTTGGAAAGCTTATTCGTGCACAGTCAAGGCGAATCAATGTTCGACAACTCAGAAGGCCGCTACACATCAGCGAGTTTTGATAATCGTAGTTACTCTGTTTCCAGAGTTCGCATTCGGTATTTTCTAGAAGCTGACGAAGGGCGTGCGAGGAGAAGTGCCGGTTGGTCAATTCAGCTGCTGTCAGAGCAGGAACACCACCATTGGCAAGTTAGACCAAACCCGGGTCGCTGCTGTCTCACGGACTGACATTGTTTTCTGGGCAGCTAAAACTCTAGGAAAATGTTGAGGTTGAATGTGTGGAATGCCCTTTTCTGCAGTTCCGTGCGTTGATTTTTACTAAACCAGCGCGCCATGTTCAGATTACATGGGTACAGTAAAATATGCTTATGCCCATACCAGCCTGGTCAAACGTCACCGACAACCAGGGCTGGAATTAGGTGTGTGGCACCGAGCGCCTCAGAAGGGGCAACCGTGTCGCAGGCGCTCTCGCAATGTTGTGCGCTGATGGCGCAAGCCTAAAGTCAGGGAGGGACCGCCCCGCACGGAACGGCACCAATAATGACCCTCCCACCCACCCCCACCCCACCCCACCCCACACGCACCTCTCCTCCATCCCGCCAGATTCCGCACTCCACCCGCCCGCTCCTTCCCTCCTCCCAACTTGATCTATCGAGCCCTCGTTCACAAGCCAACCCAGATGACGGGTCAAACATGACGGTTCTGTTCTGCGATAGCAAAAATCATACTGCCCGCCGTATCATCTCCCACCACTCCAGGCGGACTGCTTCCCCCACCTCCCCGAATACAAGTTTCTGTAGTATGTCCTTGAACCCCAGCTGTTTTGACTCGTCACCCTCCGACCAGACCTTCCTGAATCCGTCCTCGTCAACCAGATCCCCCCTCCAACACCCAGCCCTTCCCCCATTTCCCCCCACTCAGTTACATAGCACTTTCCTTCCGCCACCCCACCCCCACGTTCGGTCGGTCATCAGCTTATCACCAGCCCCACAATTATCGTGCCTCCCCTTCCTCCCATCACAATCCAGCGAATACAATCACAAATCACAATTAGGGCGCATTTCAGGCCTCGTAACAAGTGACTTCCGAACAAGTTGGTCGTCGTACGCGACCAAACTTGTTACGAGGCCGTTGTTGTCCTCCTCCGAACAAACAAGTCTGATCACTGATAACGTGGGTTGCGGATGTACACCATTAGGTCGCAGCCAGTAAAATGGCGCGTCACTTCACTCTCTGCGAAGGTCTACAGGTCCAGAAACTAACGGCCTTACGAGCCAAAGTTTTTGTTGGTGCTGCCCAAAACAAATGTTCAGTCGCGACCCGCTCATATGCAAACATCACCCCGTCCCCCACTCGTTTTGACCGTCTAGTCTTCAATCAGTCCAACAAATTGAGGGTGACGAATACCCGTCGCCTGCTATCAAGTAGACGGTGCGCGATCGGGGAAGCATGATCGCCAACACTTGTATTGGCGCCAGATGTTAGCAAGAAGTTGTTACGAGGTTTTGGTCGCCCAGACTCGCACAAAGTAGCAAAAAGTCGTTAAGCAGTCGCTTGTTACGAAGATGCTTGTTCGTAACTACCTGAAATGCGCCCTTATACGTTACCATTCTGCCTATCCTGCCGTCCGAGTCACTGCTGCCCAGTCAGAGTCACTGCTGCCTTCATGTGAGATACACTCAAGAGCGTCCTCCTACTTCGTTCTAACCAGGGAAGCCGCGAAAATCGTCATCGCCTGTAATCCACGTCGGCCCGACGCCTTTCTCCGAACATCATTTTCAGTTATACCTCCTTAATATAGGCTCGTAGACTGTCAGCCGTTCGCCGTGTCACACAGATCAGACTCCCAATGGCTCGAGTATCGGTGAAAGGACTGGCGGCTCTTGTGCTCGTTGCTGTCGTCATCTTGTGCGTGATGCAAGTCGCGTCAGCTTATACCGGGTACCAGCAGATGGTAGCGAAGCTGAAGAAGAAGGGGTACAGCACCTCCCTTGCGGCGTGGGAAACGTCTGGTGAGTCACGGCTCGCGAACGCCTCGTCCGCTGCTTGTAACAGTTCAATGGTCCGCTGTAACAGTTCTTTTCCCTGTGGTCAAGGTGTGAACACCACACTATTTACGAAAAGGTGTGAACTTTCTTCTATGTTCTAGTCCGACTTTTGAGTCGACTCAAAAGTCTTTCCGCGGAAAGGTGTGAATTTCCTTTCTATGGCCAAGAAGGACATGGGGAAGCCGAAATGTGGCAGCACCTTCGTGAGTTTTAGTCTTCTGAAACTGAAGTTCCATTCCCTGTCTTTCAGTGGGTTAAAAAGAATAGGAGACCAGAATAGGCGAACACGAGCTGGTGCGGACGACTGGAAGCGCGCAGGCGGCGACTGCGATAATTCTTCGTCGGAGTGGGCATGTGTGGTTGTTGCGCTACTAACATCGGCTGTCACCCCTCAAACGCTGAAGTTTCCCGTTTTCGCGCGATACCGTGCCGCGCTAGCCATTTTCCGTTTCGCGCGATGCCGTGCGCGCTAGCCTTTTTTCGGGCCTCCCTGAAGGTCACTCTCCTCGTGCGATGAGTCAACCTTTGAGGCTCCGAGGTGACTTTTGAGTCGACTCAAAAGACGACCTTTGAGGCGCCTCAAAACTTTAAACTCTTGAGACCTCTCTAACCTCGCCATTTTTCAGGTCTCCCTGAAGATCACTCTCCTCGTGCGATGGGACGACCTTTGAGGCTCCTCAAAACTTGTCTCATTGCCCGCAAACCTCTTCAACTGACTTTCTATGCGGCCTAAGGATAGACTCATATGGATCGTGCTCGAACCGCCCATCACCTCTAGTGCCGTCCATTTTACCCCAGGCCTCAACAACACCTTCAAGCAGTACCTGCCAACGTCGCAGATGACGGTACCGGAGCCGGCTATTTCCCATATCCTCGTGTTTCTTTGTCGCCTTCCCCTCCACCCTGGCTCTCCCCCAGGCCTCAACAACACCTTCTAGCAGTACCTGCCAACGTCGCAGGTGACGCTACTGGAGCCGCCTCCTCCTGATGTCGCTGTGTCTCTTACTCATCCCCCATTCTCCCCATCCCTCCTCCTGGCCCCAACAACACACCTCCAAGTAGTTGCGATATAACACCCAAGATGATGGTGCTGGTGCCGTCTTTTTATCATATCTTTTGACTCGATTCAAATGCTGATTTCGCAGACGACTGTGCTGCTGGTGCCGTCTCTTTCTCATGTCCTCGTGTCACTTTCTCCTCCCCCATCCCCCAATCCACCCCCAGGCCTCAACAACACTCTAAAAAAGTTTCTGCCAACGTCGCAGTTGACGGTGCTGGTGCCGCGCAACAGTGCCTTTGGCAAGCTCACGGGCAGCTTCCAATACTCGAAGCTCAAAAAGAACCCCAAGGCCCTGCTGCAGGTCATGTCGTTCCATGTGTGGAAGCAACGCTTCTACGAATCCACTCTTGGGACACTCGCAGTTGGAACGCAGGTGAGAATGGCTGCTGCAACTATTTTCGCTGTGTTTTCAGTGTGCTTCTACGACCCACGCTGGAGGCGCTCACAGTGAAAACGCAGGTGAGAATGGCATTAAAGCGGAAGCATGGCAGGATGAGTAGCAGGTCATGTCGACGTCTGGAAGCAACGCTTGTATGCCTTCACTTTGGAGGCGATCATAGCATGCACGCATGTCGAGCATAGGACTGCAATGCATGGCAACATACGGAACAGGTTTTAACATGCCTGATAGGATTTGTCCTCTCTTCCCCTGCCTCCTTTCTTCTCTTGTTCCTGCATTTCGGCACCCTGGATTTCAAGTTTGTGATGAGGAAGACTGACGCCAAGCCACAAACGTTCAACAATGCACGGGCGTATGAGAGACTTACGATCAATCTTTCTTTCCCCCACTCCGTTCCTCCCTTGTTGCTCCTGCAGTTTGGCACCCTGGATTACAAGTATGTGATGAGGAAGACAGGCGCCAAGCCTCAAACGTTCAACAAGCTTGGAGCTACGGGAGGGCTCAAGATTATAGATCCAGACCTGTATGCGGACCGGCAGGTTATCGTGCATGGGATAGACACTGTCATCATCCCACCCAAGATTCATCCATAAATGGATGGGGAAAAGGGATGGAAAAGTTGTTTCTTCTCACACAGTAAATTATTGCCCTTATGGGTGTTTTAGTGGTTATATAATCCAATGGTGTGGTTTCTGTGAGGATGCTAAAGAAAGCAGAATCCTTATTATGCACAAAATTGTAATGCACGAAAACAAGGTGACAATACAATATACAGTCATACCTGGGATGTAAGTGGAGTTGCGCTTATAATAAAGCGCCCAGTAATGGGGTAGTACACCTAGTCCGCGGTAAATTCACCGACGGTATCTTCACCACCTGGGTGTACTTTCCCGCGGTCAAGTTAGTTTACGAAGGTAGTTTCGCATTCGGAGAGGGTAGAATCATGCATTCCCTTCGCCAGATGACGGAGAGTGGAAACTTCGGAAATGCTGATCCCGCCCTTATCTCGAGTCACTAAGTGCCGGTTTATGATACTGAAATGCATCCTAGCTGTATGCGATTAGCCTCGGAGCCTCAGGATGCCCTTCAAATTACCCGAAAACGCACATAGGGTGCCTGGAAGAAAAACATTCGCGCGGTGAATTTACTGCGGGCTAGGTGTAGGGGGTTTTGGGAGGAGGATCTGGCCGACGGAGGAGACCTGCCGGCGAGAAAATTCCTTACCTATCCTGGTTCAGGCGAACCCCTCGCCTAATACGGTAGCGCGATGCCATGTGCCTGCAGATTCTGCATAACAAGGCTACAGTATCGCGTTTGATTCCGACTGTTGGAAATATAAGGCGTAAGAAAGTACATATGCTGTTAGGTTTTAGTGTAATCCCCTCTATAAGCTTCTAGGTCCTACAATAATTGCACAATTATTGTAGGGGGCTGCATTATTGGAGTTTAGAGGTTTGGGGGTAGAATTATTGCTACTCCTTGGTTGGGGCTACCATTATTGGTGGGGATGGCTAGACTATGGAAGGGTAGCTGCATGGATACAGTAAATGCCCTGCTGTGTGCTTGTTCAATCCAATCTATTGTCCTGAATCCATTCAGTTGCAAGGTTCTCTTGCTATTCTATTCTACAATCAAGGCTTCCGCTACGACGGCACTATGCCTTTCTAGCACCGACGACTCGCGTCCATGCGCAACTGTACACATGATGCTCATTTAAGTCGCCCATGGTTGCCTTGTAAAGAGGGCGCGTTAGTGATTCTTGAAATTCGCAAAGGTTCCGTTTATTCGCAGCTAGCAAAAAATGATTCGTTCGTGCTAAAAAAAAACAAAACAAAAAAAAAAAAAAAAAAAAAAAACAAACAAACAAACAAACAACAACAACTTTTTCGTTGACATTTGACTTCGGTCTCTTCAGTTTGACTTCGGTTTCTTCGTTACTATTGGTTCATAATCACTGCAACTTGCGCGAGGTACTTGTAACTGTTAAACTGTATTATGCTTGTAGGCTGTAGTGGGGTAGCCAATATGGGGTACAACCCCAACTAGGGTTTCATATTTGTACCCAAACTTCTACTAGTTCATTCATTCTTGCCTAGTTATCTTGAGATGGTATTCAGAGCAAAAGGTCCCTAGGACCTACCGACCGTTTTTTTAGGGCCCACCACCGCTCGCATGCGGTTACCACGCTACCCCGTGCCCTAGCCTCGTAGCGCCCTCGTGCGCCCTCGTTAGCGCCCTCGCGCGCCCCTCGTTAGCGCCCTCGCGCGCACCCTCGTTAGCGCCCTCGCGCGCCCCTCGTTAGCGCCCTCGCGCGCCCCTTGCTAGCGCCCTCGCGCGCCCCTCACTAGCGCCCTCGCGCGCCCCTCGCAGTGTCGCCCGCCCGCCGAGCCGCCCGCTCGCAGCCCGCTCGTCCCGCTGCCCGCTTCGCAGCCCGCCCGCCCGCTCGCTGCCCGCTTCGCGGCCCGCCCGCTTCGCAGCCCGCTCGCCCCGCTGCCCGCTTCGCAGCCCGCCCGCCCGCTCGCTGCCCGCTTCGCGGCCCGCCCGCTTCGCAGCCCGCCCGCCCGCTCGCTGCCCGCTTCGCGGCCCGCCCGCTTCGCAGCCCGCTCGCCCCGCTGCCCGCTTCGCAGCCCGCCCGCCCGCTCGCTGCCCGCTTCGCGGCCCGCCCGCTTCGCGGCCCGCCCACTTCGCAGCCCGCCCGCCCGCTCGCTGCCCGCTTCGCGGCCCGCCCGCTTCGCAGCCCGCTCGCCCCGCTGCCCGCTTCGCAGCCCGCCCGCCCGCTCGCTGCCCGCTTCGCGGCCCGCCCGCTTCGCTGCCCGCTCGCAGCGCCGCCCGCCCGCCCGCTACCTGCTTCGCAGCGCCGCCCGCTGCCTCACTGCCCGCTTGCTGCGTCGCCCGCCCGCCCCGCTGCCCGCTTCGCAGCCCGCCCGCCGCGCTTCTCGCCTGCTGCTCCCTGCCTGTGCACCGCCGCTTGCTCCTGCTGTGGCTGCTAGCTTCGCTCTAGCGCGTCCCCTCTGCTGCTGCCGCTGCTCTGCTGTGCCCTCACGCCTGAGCTATGGCCTCTATTCGCGTTCTTTCCTTCGATGCTGAGGGCCGTCCCGTGCAGTTCACTTCCTGGCTCGACGACCTGCAGTTGTATCTTATGAGCAATAGCACGGACCACATCTCCCTCTATGACTACGCGTCTGGTGCTGCTGCTGCTCCTGCTGCCACAGCCGAGCTTAGTGTTCGTTCCCACTGGCAGACTCGTGACGCAGCTGCTCGCCTAGCCATTCGCAGTCACCTGCCGCTAGCTGAGCTCGAGCATTTTGGCGACTGCAAATCCGCTAAGGCCCTGTACGATGCTGTCGTTGCTCGCTACTCCTCGCCTGCCACAGCCGAGCTTAGCCGCCTCATGCTGCCGTACCTGTTCCCCGATCTGTCCACCTTTACTACAGTCGCCGATCTTATCACCCACCTTCGCACTAGTGATGCTCGCCTGCGTGCCGCCCTTCCCACCGAGTTCTGCGCTAAGAACCCCCCTCCACTGTACTGGACACTCCACTTCATAGTCACCCGTCTCCCTGACACCCTCCGCTCAGTTCGAGACCACTTCCTTGCTCGCTGTCCCACTGAGCTCACAGTCGCCCTCCTAGAGGAGCAGCTGCTCGCGGCCGAAAAGAGCATTGTAGCTGTCGGTGCTGCTCGTGGCGCTCCTCGCACCCCCATCTTTGAGGGGTGTTCTCCCTCTCCCCTCGCTCCCTCCTACGCTGCTGCTGCTGCTGTTGACTTCCTTGGTGCTGAGTCTGTTGGCGCTGCTTCTGCTCCTGGTGGGAGGCGCCGCACCGGCAAGGGCAAGGGGGGCAAGGGTGGTGGTGGTGGCGCTGGGGGGGGAGGAGGTGGGGGAGGTGGGGGGGGAGGCGGTGCTGGAGGGAGCGGTGGCGGGAGCGCTGGTGGGAGTGGGGTCGGTGGTGGAGGCGGGGGCGGCGGAGGAAGCAGTGGCAGTAGTGGCGGCGGCGGCGGTGGCGGCGGTGGCGGTGGTGGCGGTGGTGGCGGTGGCGGTCGGAGCGGTGGTAGTGGTGGCGGCGGAGGTCGGAGTGGAGGCACTGGCTCGGGCCAGAGCTCCCAGCAGCAGCAGCGTCCCCAGACGACCCAGCAGCTTCGTGAGTGGCTTGCTCAGCGTGGGACGTCGGGGGGCAGTGGCCGCTGTTCTTATGTCATTCGCACAGGTGACCGCAAGGGGCAGACGTGTGGGAGGTTCCACACCCCGTACCGCTGCTTCTCCCGCCTTGACGACGCTTGGCGTGAGGAGATGGGTGCGGATGTTGAGCGCCCCCGCTGGGCTGAGCTCATGAGGGCTGGTGTTGATGTCTTTGCTCTTGACTATGATGCTATTATTGCTGCCATGTATGCATTGACTGTTAGTGCCGAGGGAGACTGTTACTTGTGTGTGCCGCCTGACCCAGGTATAGAGCCCGCTGCCCTGGGTACTAGTGAGTCTGCTCTCTCTGGTATGGTGCCCCCTGTACTTGCTCCCTCCAGTGCTGTCCCGGCTGGTTTCGAGTCTGCTCTCTCAGGTACAGCACCCACAGAGACTGCTCTCTCAGGTACCGCACCGGCTGAGGCCTGTCACACCTTCACCCTTGACTCAGGTGCTTCCCGTTGCTTCTTTCGTGACAGTACTGAGCTCACACCGCTTCCTGCACCGGTCCCAGTCTCCTTGGCTGACCCCTCTGGGGGCCCAGTCCTTGCCCAGTCCACCACTGTCCTCCCTTGTCCGGCGGTTCCGTCTGGCTCGTTGTCGGGTTTCCACCTCCCCTCGTTCTCGACGAACCTGGTGAGCAACGCTGTCCTCCAGGATCAGTGGGTTGACACCTTTACCCCTGGAGGACAGCGTGTGGCGATCTGCACGTGCTCCAGGACCGGCCGTCACCTGGCTACGTTTACCCGTCGGCCGGGGTCGAGTCTCTACACACTGACCACTGCGTCTCCTCAGGTCGCTGCTGTCGGTCAGGTGTCTGCGTCAGGTCTGGTAGCCCACGCCTGTGAGTGTCGTTCCCTGTCGCACCAGACTCTTCTCTGGCACCACCGCCTGGGTCACCCCTCCTTGCCACGCCTTCGTGGCATGCACCGTCGCCACCTTGTGTCTGGTCTTCCCAGGTCCCTCCCTCCCCTCCCTGCCTCGCCTGCGCCGCCTTGCCTTCCTTGCGTCGAGGGGCGGCAGCGCGCCGCTCCTCACTCCTCCTCGTTCCCCCCGACAGAGGCTCCTCTGCAGACCCTCCACCTGGACGTGTGGGGCCCAGCCCGCGTTCGTGGTCAGGGCGGTGAGCGGTACTTTTTGCTGGTTGTCGACGACTACTCGCGTTACACCACGGTCTTCCCCTTGCGCACCAAGGGTGAGGTCCCTGCTGTTCTGATCCCTTGGATCCGCACGGTTCGTCTCCAGCTCCGCCGCCGTTTCCGGACGGATCTTCCTGTCCTGCGTCTGCACTCTGACAGAGGTGGTGAGTTTTCCTCCGATCTCTTGAGGACCTTCTGTCAGGCGGAGGGCATCGAGCAGACCTTCACGCTTCCGGACTCCCCGCAGCAGAATGGGGTTGCTGAGCGCCGCATTGGCCTGGTCATGGAGGTCGCTCGTACCTCCTTGGTCCACGCGGCGGCTCCCCATTTTCTGTGGCCGTTTGCTGTCCGGTACGCCGCGCATCAGCTCAACCTCTGGCCCCGTGTCTCCTTGCCGGAGACCTCGCCCACACTGCGTTGGACGGGGGAGGTTGGCGATGCGTCGCGCTTCCGGGTGTGGGGTGCTCGTGCCCTTGTCCGCGATACGTCCGCGGACAAGCTCTCCTCCCGCACGCTTCCCTGTGTCTTCCTTGGCTTTGTCCCTGACGCGCCTGGCTGGCAGTTTTACCACCCCACCTCGCGCCGGGTCTTCGCCTCTCAGGATGTCACCTTTGACGAGTCGGTCCCTTTTTACCGTCTCTTCCCCTACCGCACTGCCCCCCTCCCTCCCCCGCCGCTTTTCCTTGCTCCTGGTCCCCCTCCGGTAGACCCCCTTCCCCCTCAGGGTCCTGCTCCTTCAGGTGTCTCTCAGGTAGACCCTCCTCCCGTCGCTGAGCCTGTCGAGGTCACAGGTGACTCAGGTGCTGCTGGGAGTGCTGAGCCTGGGGGTGCTGAGCCTGGGGGTGCTGGGCCTGGGGGTGCTGGGGCTGCGGGTGCTGGGACTGAGGGTGCTGGAGCTGAGGGTACGGTGCCTGAGAGTACGGAGCCTGGGGGTGCTGAGCCTGCGGGTGCGGGGCCTGGGAGTGCTGGGACTGCGGGTGCTGGAGCTGAGGGTACTGTGCCTGAGAGTTTGCCGTCTGGGGGTGCTGAGCCTGGGGGTGCTGCGACTGGGGGTGCTGAGCCTGCGGGTACTGAGCCTGCGGGTACTGAGCCTGGGGGTGCTGCTACTGAGCCTACGGAGCCTCGGGTTACTACGTCTGGGGGTGCTCCGGTTCGGGGTGCTGAGCAGTCTCTCACACCGCAGCAGCTTCGTGACTGGTACGTCCGGCGCTTTCGCCGTCCTAGTGGCTCGGCTGGAGTTGGGGGTGCTGGGGCTGCTCGTCCTGGGGGTGCTCGTACTGGGGGTACTGGAGCTGCCGGGACTGGTTGTTCTGGGAGCACTGCGACTGGAGCTGCTGGAGCTGGGGACTCTGGCGCTGGCGGTGCTAGCGGAGTTGGAGCTGCCGACTCTGGGGGTGGCGCTGCTGCTGGTGCTGCGGACCCGCCTGGTGGAGCTGCTGCTAGAGCTGAGGACCCGAGCGGTGGCGCTGCTGCTGGTGCTGGGGACCCGGACGTTGGAGCTCCTGCTGGTCCTGAGGACCCGGCCGCTGGAGTCTCTTCTGTTTCTGGAGACGCTGCGCGGCCGCGACCGTACTTCGTACCGCTCCTTCAGCAGGTTCTTGGGCAGGCTCCTCCTCCTTGTCCTCCTCCCTCCGTAGAGTGTCCTCCGCCTGTCCAGCCGCAGTCACAGTTACCGCCTGCCTCGCCTCTCCCTGCTCCCTCTCCTTACGCTGGTCCCACAGGAGGTCTTACAGAGCGTCGTGAGCCTGAGTCTCGTCCTGCGTCGCCTGTTCGTCCTGCTCGCACTGGTAGTCGTGTCCGTCGTGAGCGTCCTCCTCCTGTCCCAGGCACTCACTACATGACTCTGCGTCCCTCTACTGCTCCTCGGCGTGTCCCTCTACCGTCTCCTCCTGCGTCCTCTTTGCCTGCCGTTCCGGACCCTGAGTCTGACCGGTATCGCGCTGAGCACCCTACAGTCACGCGTCTCCTAGCTACTGCTGTCACTGACCCTACCTTTGAGTCCTCGGCTGCGTCTGCTCTGGTCGCTGAGTTGGTTGACTTTGCTGCTGCCTGTCGTCTAGACTACGCTGCTAGCCTTGTTGCTGAGTCAGAGTCTGCGTCTGTCTGTCCTCCGTCCGTCGGGGGTGAGTGTGCTCTTGGCACGGACGTCCTTGAGGACAGGCAGGAGGACTTTGACTCTCTTGCGGCTGCTGTACCTCATCTCGTGGCCTGGTTACTTGCCCCTGAGGGAGACCCGGATGCACTAGACATCCCCACTCCGCGCACTTACGCAGAGGCGATCTCGGGTCCCTACTCCTCTCAGTGGCAGACAGCCATGGACGCAGAGATGGCATCCTGGAAGTCCACAGGCACCTACGTCGACGAGGTTCCCCCTCCTGGGGCGAACATCGTCGATGGCATGTGGATTTTCAGGGTGAAGCGGCTGCCAGGTTCTCCGCCTGTCTTCAAGGCTCGTTACGTTGCTAGAGGCTTCAGTCAGCGTCAGGGGGTCGACTTCTTCCAGACCTTCTCCCCCACCCCGAAGATGACCACTCTTCGGGTTCTGCTGCACGTTGCTGCTCAGCGTGACTACGAGCTTCACTCTCTTGACTTCAGCACAGCGTTCCTGCAGGGCAGCCTGCACGAGGAGATCTGGCTGCGCCGCCCACCTGGCTTTACTGGGTCGTTTCCCCCTGGTACCCAGTGGAGTCTCCGTCGGCCAGTCTACGGTCTCCGCCAGGCACCACGTGAGTGGCACGACACACTGAGGACTACACTTGCGGCTCTTGGGTTCGCGCCGTCTACTGCTGACCCGTCGCTGTTTCTGCGCACAGACACGTCGCTGCCGCCGTTCTACATTCTCGTGTACGTCGACGACTTGGTCTTTGCTACTGCTGACACTGAGGCACTCGCTCGTGTGAAGTCGGAGCTGCAGAAGAGACACACCTGCACTGACCTGGGTGAACTGCGTAGCTACCTTGGCTTGCAGATCACCCGGGACAGAGCTCGCCGCACCATCACCCTGACTCAGTCACACATGGTGCAGCAGGTCCTTCAGCGCTTCGGCTTCCAGTTCTCCTCACCACAGGCCACACCTCTGGCTACCAGCCACTCGCTCTCAGCTCCACCTTCGGACGAGTCCGTAGAGCCGAGTGGCCCGTACCCAGAGCTTGTAGGCTGCCTCATGTACCTGATGACTTGCATGCGACCTGACCTCGCGTACCCTCTTAGCATCCTTGCTCGTTACGTTGCGCCTGGGAGACACAGGCGAGAGCACTGGGAGGCTGCTAAGAGGGTGCTGCGTTACTTGTGCAGTACATCAGGCATGGGGCTGGTGCTTGGAGGACGCGACAGAGTTGTCCTCACTGGTCACTCGGACGCTTCTTGGGTGGACGACCTGGCTACGCAGCGGTCGTCACAGGGTTACACCTTCAACCTTGGCTCTGGTTCTGTCTCGTGGCGGTCCACCCGCTCTTCCTCTGTTCTCGGCTCTAGTTGTGAGGCTGAGATCTACGCCACAGCCATGGCTGCACAGGAGTTACGCTGGCTCACCTACCTGCTGACTGACTTGGGAGAGCGGCCTAGTTCTCCTCCAGTTCTGTACGGTGACAACAAGGCGGCTCTTGCCTTGTGTCAGGAGCACAGACTGGAGCACAGGACGAAGCACATTGCTCTTCGCTACTTTCTTGCTCGAGAGCTTCAGCAGCGCGGTCAGCTTCGGCTTGTGTACGTGGACTCGAAGGCCAACACTGCTGATATCTTCACCAAGGCGCTCCCGCCTAGTGATCATCAGCGGCACTGTACTTCTTTAGGCCTTGTGTCCACGTTTCCTCACTTGCTCACTGCTTGACATTCTTTGTACTGTACTTTATATATATCTTGTTGCTTGCTTGCTAGGTTTTGATCACTGTGTTGCTTGTCTTGTACTATATCTAGCACTGCATGTGAACTGGCCTTGTGGCCTTTACTTGTGCTCGGAGTGTGGTGACGTTGTGATCCACCCTGGGCTTTGCTTTGCTTTGCTGGACTGGTCTTGTGACCCTTTGTTCTCCCCCACTTTGCCTATGGGGGTGTGTTAAACTGTATTATGCTTGTAGGCTGTAGTGGGGTAGCCAATATGGGGTACAACCCCAACTAGGGTTTCATATTTGTACCCAAACTTCTGCTAGTTCATTCATTCTTGCCTAGTTATCTTGAGAGTAACGTGGGTGCAACTGGCTGGTAGAAAAAAATCGGGTGCATGCTTTCTAAAAGGTGCAGACCGAATTCGCGTGCAGTGGTTGGGCATCATGTGTAATTCATGATGGCGTCGCTTCGACGTGCATGGCTGAACCCGTCGCCTGCTCGCGCACGCCCCGCAGGCCCGCAGCCCGCCGTCGCAGAGGCCGCCCGTCCGCAGCCGCCCGTCGCCTGCTCGCGCACGCCCCGCAGCCGCCCGTCGCCTGCTCGCGCACGCCCCGCTGCCCGCAGCCGCCCGTGCGCCGCTGCCACTGCCGCACGTGCGCATACGCAGCTGCCGCCCGTGCGCTGCTTCCGCTGCTGCTTGCGCACCGCCGCCTCCTGCCGTCGCCGCACGTGCACTGCTGCCGCCTGTGCGCCGCCGCTGCCCGTGTGCCGCCGCTGCCCCTACGCTGCCGCTGCCCATGCGCCGCTGCTGCCCGTGCGTCGCTGCCGCTCGTGCACCGCTCGCAGCCGCTGCCGCCCGTGCGCTTCTGCAGCCGCCGCCCGCGAGGCGCTCGCTCCCACTGTTTTTTCTACCTACCGCGCACACTGCTGCCGCTGCAGCTGCCACCAGTGCGCCGTTGCAGCTCCTGCTGCCACGCTCCCTACTACTGCCGCTCGTGTGCCACTACGGACAGTCGACCCCGCCCGCGCCTTACCTAGCGGCCCCGCCGGCCCCGTTGACCCTACGCACACCTTTCCAGCGGCCTAGTTCCTACTCCTACTACTGTCACTATGGCTAGTCCTCCCGTTCTAGCTTTCGATGCCGAGGGCCGTCCGGTGAAGTTCGAAACCTGGCTAGATGACCTGCACCTGTTCCTACAGCTCACTGCCAAAGAAGACATCTCACTGTACGACCACGCCCTAGGCCATGCTACTGCCCCTGACACGTCTGCTGACAGCACTCTACGCTCTCAGTGGCAGACTCGTGATGCGCACGCTCGCTTTGCTATTCGCAACTCCCTGCCGCTAGACGAGCGCGAGCACTTCGGCCAGTGCAAGACTGCTAAGGACCTCTACACCGCTGTAGTTGCCCGTTACTCCTCACCCGCTTCTGCTACGCTAGGCCGCCTCACTCTCCCCTACCTGTTCCCCGACCTAGCCTCCTTTCACACTGTCGCAGACCTCATCACCCACCTTAAGACTAGTGAGGCCCGCTTTCGCGCTGCTATGCCTGCCGAGTTTCTCACTAGCAACCCCCCCCCGCTCTGGATCACTCTCTACCACATCGTCACCCGCCTCCCTGACTCTCTGCGCGCAGTCAGGGACCACTTCCTCTCTCGCTCCCCCACTGAGCTCACTGTTGCCCTCCTCGAGAAGGAACTGCTTGCAGCTGAGGCGAGCATCGTCGCTGTAGGCACCTCTCGTGGCGACCCCCGCACCCCGTTCTTCGAGGGGTGTTCCCCTTCCCCCCTCCTCCCCTCTGTCGCCTCTGCTGCTGCTGTCGACCTCCTTGGTGCTGAGAAGGTCGGGACCGCGTCTGCTTCGAGCGGGCGCTGCAGGAGCAAGGGAGGCATGGGTGGAGGTGGTGGCGGAGGAGGTGGGGGTGGAGGCGGTGGGAGTGGAGGCGCGACTGGGGAGGCTAGTGGCGGCAGTGGGGGAGGAGACAGCAGCGGCGGGAGCGGTGGCAGGGGTGGAGGCGGCAGCGGAGGTGGAGGTGGTCGTGGCGGCGGCAGGGGTGGAGGTGGCCGAGGCGGTGGTGGTGGCGGTGGTGGTCGTGGAGGCACTGGCGGAGGCCCGAGTCAGCAGCCCGCCCCGACGCTTCAGGCCGCCCGTGAGTGGTATGCGCAGCGTGGCTTTACCTGCACGTACGTCATTCGCACAGGTGACCGCAGCGGCCAGCAGTGTGGGAGGCCGCACCCCACGCACCGCTGCTTCGCGCGCCTTAACGACGCGTGGCGCACCCAGTTTCCTGATGCCGCTGAGCTGCCGCGCTGGGCTGATCTGGAAAAGAGGGGTGTTGATATTTGGGCTCTAGACTTTGATGCTATTCTCACTGCCATGTATGCCATGTTTATTAGTGGAGAGGGTGCTCAGTACTTGCGTGTTCCGCCCGACCCGGGCATTCAGGCCAGTCCGGTTGCCGCTCTAGGTGCTAGTGCGTCTGCTCCCACAGGTCCTGGTGAGGCTGCTGCCCTAGGTGCTAGTGCGTCCGTGCCCCCTGGTACTGAGTTGACTGCAGCACTGCACACCTTCACACTGGACTCAGGTGCCTCTCGCTCTTTCTTTCGTGACCGCACTGTCCTTGAGCCACTCGCTCGGCCAGTTGCTGTCTCCCTTGCTGACCCCTCTGGGGGTCCGGTCATTGCGACCTCCTCCACTGTTCTTCCTTGTCCTGCGGTCCCGTCCGGCACGCTTTCAGGTCTCTACCTCCCCTCGTTCTCTACGAACTTGGTGGCGGGTTGTGCGCTCCAGGACTCGGGTGTTCACCAGTTCACCCCTGCCTACGAGCGCGTGACACACTGCACATGTGCTCGGACGGGTCGCCACCTGGCTACTTTCACTCGAGAGCCGGGGTCGGACCTGTACACACTGACCACTGAGTCCCCTCAGGTAGCTGCGTCTGCGTCTACGTCTGCGTCTTCGTCAGGTCAGCTGTCCGCCCCCTGCTCGTGTCGCTCTCTGGCGCATGAGACTGTCCTTTGGCACCACCGCCTTGGTCACCCGTCTGTGCAGCGCCTTCGGGCCATGCACAAACAGGACCTTGTTGCTGGTCTTCCCAGGGTGCTCCCTCCCCTTCCCGACTCACCTGCTCCTCCCTGTATTCCCTGTGTCGAGGGGCGGCAGCGCGCCGCTCCTCACTCCTCCTCCTTTCCCCCGACGACTGCTCCCTTGCAGACGCTCCACTTGGACGTGTGGGGCCCAGCCCGCGTCCGTGGACAGGGTCAGGAGCGGTACTTCCTGCTCGTTGTTGACGACTTCTCGCGCTACACCACGGTCTTCCCCTTGCGAGCCAAGGGTGACGTACCTGATGTCTTGATCCCTTGGATCCGCAGATCTCGTCTCCAGCTCACCAGGCGTTTCCGCTCCGACTTTCCTGTCCTGCGTCTGCACTCTGACAGAGGTGGGGAGTTTTCCTCTGGCCTCCTGGAGGCCTTCTGTCAGCAGGAGGGCATTGAGCAGTCGTTCACGCTTCCGGCCTCTCCACAGCAGAATGGGGTTGCTGAGCGCCGCATTGGTCTAGTCATGGAGGTCGCTCGTACCTCCTTGAGTCATGCGGCTGCCCCCCATTTTCTGTGGCCGTTTGTGGTCCGATACGCTGCGCATCAGCTCAACCTCTGGCCCCGTGTCTCCTTGCCCGAGACTTCTCCGACACTGCGTTGGACGGGAGAGGCTGGCGATGCGTCGCGTTTTCGGGTCTGGGGATCCCGAGCTTTTGTCCGCGACACGTCCGCGGACAAGCTCTCCCGTCGCGCTGTCCCCTGCGTCTTCCTTGGCTTTGTCCCGGACGCCCCTGGTTGGCAACTCTACCACCCCACCTCGCGTCGTGTCCTGGCCTCTCAGGACGTCACTTTTGACGAGTCCGTCCCCTACTACCGCCTCTTCCCCTACCGCACTGCCCCGCTCCCCCCCCCGCCTCTCTTCCTCGCTCCAGGTGCTGAGGTACCAGACCCCCTCCCCCCTCAGGGTGCCGCTCCCTCAGGTGTGTCCCAGGTAGACCCGGGTGAGCCTGTCGAGGTAGCTGTTGACTCTCGTCCTGCGTCTGGGGGTGCTGAGCCTGGGGGTGCTGAGTCTGGGGGTGCGGAGCCTGGGGGTGCGGAGCCTGGAGGTGCTGAGCCTGGGGGTGCGGAGTCTGGGGGTGCTGAGTCTGGGGGTGCTGAGACTGAGCGTGCTACACCTGGAGGAGCCCTCTCCTCCCAGCAGCTGCAGGAGAGGTACCTCGAGTACTGCCGCCTCCGGAGAGGTGCTGCTGGAGCTCGTCCCGGTACTTTCCCTCCTACCCAGGAGCTCCCCCCCATTCAGCAGATCCGAGAGTGGTACACACGCCGCTGCAGTCTTCGGAGTGGTCCTCCGGGTGCTGAGGACCCGAGCGGTGGCGCTGCTGCTTGTGCTGAGGACCCGGGCGCTGGAGCTGCTGCTGGTGCTGAGGACCCGGGCGGTGGAGCTGCTGCTGGTGCTGAGGACTCGGACGTTGGAGCTACTGCTGGAGCTGAGGACCCGAGCGGTGGTGCTGCTGCTGGTGCTGAGGACCCGGCCGGTGGAGCTGCTGCTGGTGTTGAGGACCCGGACGTTGGAGCTGCTGCTGGTGCTGAGGACCCTGCCGCTGGTGTCTCTGCTGGTTCTGGAGACGCTACGCGGCCGCGACCGTACTTCGTACCACTTCTTCAGCAGGTTCTTGGTCAGGCTCCTCCTCCCTGTCCTCCTCCCTCAGTAGAGTGTCCTCCGCCTGTCCAGTCGCCGTCACAGTTACCGCCTGCCTCGCCTCTCCCTGCTCCCTCTCCTTACACTGGTCCCACGGGAGGTCTTACAGAGCGTCGTGAGCCTGAGTCTCGTCCTGCGTCGCCTGTTCGTACTGCTCGCACTGGTCGTCGTGTCCCATGTGAGCGTCCTCCTCCTGTCCCTGGCACTCACTACATGACTCTGCGTCCCTCCACTGCTCCTCAGCGTGTCCCGCTACCGTCTCCTCCTGCTTCCTCTCTGCCTACTCTTCCTGACCCGGAGTCTGACTCCCGTCGTGCTGCCAGTCCCACTGTCACCCGTCTCCTCGCTACTGTTGTCACTGACCCTGCCTTTGAGTCCTCTGCTGCGTCTGCTCTAGTCGCTGAGTTGATAGACTTTGCTGCCCGGTGTCGTCTAGACTACGCCACTAGCCTTGTTGCTGAGTCTGAGTCTGCGTCTGTCTGTCCTCCGTCCGTCGGGGGTGAGTGTGCTCTTGGCACGGACGTCCTTGAGGACAGACAGGAGGAGTTCCAGTGCTTTGCTGCTGCTTTGCCCCACCTCGTGTCCATGCTAGTTGCCCCTGAGGGAGACCCGGATGCACCAGACATCCCGACCCCGCGCACTTACGCTGAGGCGATGGCGGGTCCCTACTCCTCTCAGTGGCAGACAGCCATGGACGCAGAGATGGCTTCCTGGAAGTCCACACGCACCTACGTCGACGAGGTTCCCCCACCTGGGGCGAACATCGTCAGTGGCATGTGGATTTTCAGGGTGAAGCGGCCACCGGGTTCTCCTCCTGTCTTCAAGGCGCGCTACGTGGCTCGAGGCTTCAGTCAGCGAGAGGGAGTTGACTTCTTTCAGACCTTCTCCCCCACCCCGAAGATGACCACTCTTCGGGTGCTGCTGCACATAGCCGCTCAGCGCGACTACGAGCTTCACTCACTTGACTTCAGCACTGCTTTCTTGCAGGGCAGCCTGCACGAGGAGATCTGGCTGCGCCGCCCTCCTGGCTTCACTGGGTCGGTTCCTCCTGGTACCCAGTGGAGGCTTCAGCGGCCGGTCTACGGTCTCCGCCAGGCACCGCGTGAGTGGCACGACACACTGAGGACGACACTTGCGGCTCTTGGGTTCGCTCCCTCTACTGCTGACCCGTCACTGTTTCTACGCACAGACACCTCACTGCCGCCGTTCTACATCCTCGTGTACGTCGACGACTTGGTCTTTGCCACTGCTGACACCGCGGCACTTGCCCACGTGAAGTCGGAGCTGCAGAGGAGACACACGTGCACAGACCTGGGTGAACTGACAAGCTATCTTGGCTTGCGGATCACCCGAGACAGAGCACGGCGCACCATCACCTTGACTCAGTCACACATGGTGCAGCAGATCCTTCAGCGCTTCCGCTTCACGTACTCCTCGCCTCAGTCCACTCCTCTGCCTACCGGTCACTCGCTCTCAGCTCTGCCTTCGGATGAGTCCGTAGAGCCGAGTGGCCCGTATCCAGAGCTTGTGGGCTGCCTCATGTACCTGATGACCTGCACTCGACCTGACCTTGCATACCCTCTTAGCATCCTTGCACGCTATGTCGCTCCTGGCCGTCACAGGAAGGAGCACATGGATGCCGCTAAGAGGGTGTTGCGCTACTTGTGCAGTACGTCGGGCATGGGGCTAGTGCTTGGAGGGCGAGACCGAGTTGTACTTACTGGACACTCAGACGCTTCTTGGGCGGACGACCAGGCTACTCAGCGGTCGTCTCAGGGTTACACCTTCAGCCTTGGCTCCGGCTCAGTTTCTTGGCGTTCTACACGCTCTTCTTCTGTTCTCAGCTCCAGTTGTGAGGCTGAGATCTACGCCACAGCCATGGCTGCCCAGGAGCTACGCTGGCTGACCTACCTGCTGACCGACTTGGGTGAGCGGCCTCGTTCTCCTCCAGTGCTGTACGTCGACAACCAGGCTGCCATTGCCTTGTGTGAGGAGCACAGACTGGAGCACAGAACGAAGCACATCGCCCTGCGGTACTTCCTTGCTCGAGAGCTGCAGCAGCGCGGTCAGCTTTGTCTGCGTTACGTGGCCACTGAGGCCAACCTTGCTGATGTGTTCACCAAGGCGCTTCCGCCTTGTGACCATCAGCGCTTGTGACCAAACAAGAGGCAAGAACTCACTACTGCAGTCTACTAGACCCAGTCTCAACGAGGCCTAACTGCAGACAAAACCGGCGGTGGTCACAAGGCTGAAGGGCCTTGGTGAAGATGTCTGCAGTGTTGGCCTCGGAGGCCACGAAGTCCAGACGCGCCTGACCGCGTCTCTGCAACTCTCGAAGGAGGAAGTACCTGACGTCGATATGCTTCACTCTGCTCTCCAGTCATAGGAGAATCATCGCCTTGTTGTCAGCAAACAAGGTCGGTGCAGAGCTCGGCCGCTCACCAAGGTCAGTGAGCAAGAAGGTCAACCAGCGTAGCTCCTGTGCAGCAAGGGCTCCAGCGTAGATCTCGGCCTCTGCGGTAGAAGTCGCAACAGAGGAGGACCGAGTAGACCTCCACGAAACAGCTCCAGAGCCCAGACTGAAACAGTAACCCTGCGTAGACCTCTGAGTCTCAACGTCGTCGGCGTAGGAGGAGTCGCAGTGACCGGTGAGTACAACTGGCTGTGTCCCTCCAAGTACAAGCCCCATGTCTGATGTCGTGGCAAGGTACTTCGCCACCCTCTTAGCCGCCGTCCAGTGAACAGGACGGTGTCTCCCAGTCGCAACAAAGCGAGAAAGGATGCTAAGAGGGAAGGCGAGGTCCGGGCGAGTGCACGTCATCAGGTACATGAGGCAGCCCACCAGCTCTGCGTAGGGACCACTGGGCTCGAACGGCTCGTCAGGAAAAGGCCCAGTGAGTCTGTGGTCTACAGCAAGAGGGGTGGGTGTAGGAGAGGAGTGTTGAAGCCCGAACCGCTGAAGGACCTGCTGCACCATGTGTGACTGAGTCAGAGTGATGGTGCGAGCGGCTCTGTCCCTGGAGATCTGCAGGCCAAGGTAGCGGCGCAGTTCCCCAAGGTCAGTGCAGGTGTGTCTCTTCTGCAGTTCGGACTTCACCTCCGCCAGTGCAACTGTGTCGGCTGTGGCAAAAACCAAGTCGTCAACGTAGACCAGAACGAAGAAAGGTGTGCGCCCACGACGAACAAACAGCGACGGGTCGGCGGAAGACGGCTCAAACCCGAGGTCGGACAGAGTAGAGCGGAGAGTGTCGTGCCACTCACGGGGTGCCTGACGGAGACCGTAGACCGGTCGTCTGAGGCTCCACTGGGTCCCAGGCGGGAAGGTGCCAGTGAAGCCCGGAGGACGACGCAGCCAGATCTCCTCGTGTAGGCTGCCCTGCAGGAAGGCGGTGGAGAAGTCGAGGGAGTGCAGCTCGTAGTCCCTCTGTGCCGCTACGTGAAGTAACACCCGAAGAGTGGTCATCTTCGGGGTGGGCGCGAAGGTCTGAAAGAAGTCAACCCCCTCGCGCTGACTGAAACCTCTAGCCACGTAGCGTGCCTTGAAGACTGGGGGAGATCCCGGCGGCCGCTTCACCTTGAAGATCCACATGCCGTCAACTATGTTCGCCCCTGGGGGGGGAACCTCGTCAACGTAAGTGCCTGTGGACCTGTAGGAGGCCATCTCTGCGTCCATGGCAGCTCTCCACTGAGAGGCCCAAGGCCCTGACACTGCCTCAGCGTAAGTGCGAGGAGTAGGTATGTCAGGAGCGTCGGGGTCTCCCTCAGGAGCGAGCAGCATGGCACAGAGATGAGGCGAAGCAGCTGCCAGGAACTCTAGCTCAAACTGTCTGTCCTCTAGGACGTCACAGCTAAGGGCGGACTCACCCCCGGCGGACAGAGGACGGACAGGAGGAGCGGCCACAACACGAGTGGCGTAGTCAAGGCGACGCGTAGCAGTAAAGTCAGTGACAGCGGCAGTGAGGACCGCGACGGAGGAAGGAGAGGCACGAGGGTCGGTAACAAAAGAGGCAAGAACACGAGAGAGAGTGGGGCGGTACGTGCGGTAGTAGTCAGTGACCGGAGTGGACAGGGAGGCAGTGAGAGACGACTCAGGAGGGCGAGGAAGGACAGACAAAGGAGAACGAGGAGGACTAGGACGGAACAACACAGTACGGAGGTCAGTGACAGGTGACGAAGGACGAGCACGAGGAGGACGAGAGGCCCAAGTGTGGGCGAGAGGAGAGGGAGACGGAGGAGACTGAGGATGAGGAAACACAGCCGGAGCGGAGTCCGGAGGAGGAAACGTAGGACCGAACACAGGAGGAGAGGAGGGGAGACCAAGGGCCCGAAGGCCAGAAACAGGGGCCGGAGGCTGCTCCGGCTGCTGCTGCTGCGGCGGCGGCGGCGGCTGCTGCTGCTGCTGCTGCTGCTCCCGCTGCAACTCCAACCGCTCACGCTCCACCCGCCGCTGAACCTCCAACCTCTCACGCTCCAAACGCTGCTGCTCCTCACGCTCAACACGAAGAAGGGCCTGGTAACGAGTAGGGTAGGGGTGAGGAGGAGGAGTGGTGTCAGGAGACGAAGAAGAAGAACCAGCTCCGCCCTCGACAGTACCCGGCTGAGCACCCCCAGAGCGAGTACCCCCTGCGACAGCACGACCAGCACCTGTAGGAGGTGTACCCGCACCCCCAGTCGTGGTGCCTCCAGTGGCACCAGCACCAGTCCCAGACCCTCCAGCTCCAGGAACACCACTAGCTCCAGCACCACCACGAGCTCCAGTACCCTCGGAACGGGCAGCTGCGGCAGGTGCACGCTCAGCGCCAACGCCAACACCCCCAGAACGGGCGGCTCCTGTAGGTGCACGAACAGCTCCAACGCCAGCACCCCCAGAGCGAGCACCGCCAGAGCCCTCACCTCGAGCACCAACACCCTCAGAGTCCGCAGTGGCCGGTAAAGGAAGCGCTGACGGCTGCTGCGGAGGCTGTGAGGACGACTGTGGGGAAGGAGGAGAGACCTGGGGGGGTACCGAGGGGGGGGGGGGGGGGGGGGGAGTAGCGTGGGACACACCAGACGGAGCGGGAACAGGGGGGGGTACCGGAGGAGCAGGGGCGGGAGGAGGAGGAGCTGGAGCCAGGAAGAGGGGAGGGGGGGGAACCGGGAGACCTCGACGGGGGTACCGGACGTAGTAGGAGACGGATTCGTCGAAACGGACGTCACGAGAGTCAAAGAACCGGTGGGAGGGAGGGTGGTAAAAGGTGAAGTCAGAGGAGTCCTCTGGGAAACCAAGGAAGACACAGGGGACGGCGCGAGGTGAGATCTTGTCCGCAGAGGTGTCGCGGACAAGAGCCAAGCAGCCCCAGACACTAAACCTCGACGCTACACCAGGGGACCCTGTCCAAAGACTGGTCGGTGAAGCCTCTGGCCGAGAGACACGAGGCCAGAGGTTCAGCTGGTGAGCGGCGTACCGAGCCGCGTAGGGCCACAGAAAATGGGGCGCGCGGGCGTGGATCATGGAGGTGCGGGCAATCTCCATGACCAGGCCTAAGCGGCGCTCAGCAACCCCATTCTGCTGTGGAGAGTCTGGAAGAGTCCAGGACTGGGAGATGCCCTGCTCAGCACAGAATCTGGCGAGAACGCCGGAGCGAAACTCACCCCCACGGTCGGAGTGGAGACAACTGACACGACGACGGCGAGTACTCTCGGTGGCGAGCAGCCACCGGATCAGCGTAGAAGTCACGTCGGAATGAGTTAGATTGACTGTGTTGGGGTACAAATGCCTAACCCTAACTGTTTGTACCCCATATAGCATGTCCCACTAGAGGCTTTAACATTTGACAACTAGGGACAGTTTGCGAATTAATGAATCTACAACCGCACTGGTCGGTCAAACGCTAACGAGAGATCTGCTAGATTGTTATATATCATGACCGCTAATCCAAGTCACACATCTGCCAACAGTATTGTGACGCAACGAGTGACTATAGACGATGTGCCGGCTGCTGCCTGTGACTGTTTGCACGAGGGATGAGTTGGCTGATGCATGGTATAAGGTTGAGCATCATGTGTACGCTCGAAATCGCCTATTCAGTCGTTCGTGTCTCTGTTGCGGTCTCTCCCGGGAAATCATTAGTAAGGAGTTCATATCGTTCGCTCCTATCGTATTGCACCGTACAGAATTACAAGTTATTAGGGTTCCTGACTCCTGACTTCTGACACCTTTGTCGATTATCCCAGGCTTTCGTCTCAGTAATCCGACCCGACTCCACTCGAAGTCTTTCTGCGAATATCTTATTTATGTAAACCGTCAGCCGTTCGCCGCGCGTCACGTGAATCAGACCACGCCATGGCTCGAGTATCTGAGAAATGTCTGGCGACTCTACTCCTCGTTACTGTCGTCATCTTGCTGTGCGTGACGCAAGTTGCGTCAGCTTATACCGAATATGAGCGCTTGGTAGCGAAGCTGACAGCGAGGAAGATAAACAGTATCGCCCTCGCCGCATGGCGAACGTCTGGTGAGTCGAGAGATGAAAGCTGTAAGCTTTTGAAACCCTATGGTCAAGAAGAACTTATGAAAACATTTAGTAACTCACCTCAAATAAGTGTTTACCTCACTTCAAGAATTGGTTACCTCGCCTCAATAAGTGTTTATCTCAGCTCAAGAAGTGTTTACCTCACTTCAAATCGTATTTTTGGCAGCTTAAAAAGTGTATCTTCCAACTCCAGTGTTTATCTCAGCTCAGAAAGTGTTCACCGCCTCAGCTCAAGAAATTGTTCCCAACTCTGCTAGTAGTGTTCGTGCAAAATATTACCCATTGTCTCTCTCACCTCCCTCCCACCTGTCAAGAACAAGGTAGCCTACGTTTACGAGAAACCTAGGCTAGGGTTGAGAGTAGCGAGAGTGTCGAGAGGGAAGAGCGGTTCACTAATGAAAAGGGTACAAGATATAGGATAGGGAAGGTGGGAAGGGGGGTACACCACCAACAGTAGAGAATCTACAGTGATACTATACTAGTAAAGTTACATGCGGTTATATATATAATCTAACATCCCCCCTTAACTGCATGCAGAGAAACCTAGGGCGTGTTGCTAAGACCCCTTACCAGGCCAACCTCTCATCAAGCTCGCCTCAAAACACACAGAAAATTCCCTAAACCCGGAAACCCTCGCTACTTTTACCAGGCAAGGCTGACAAGAGGTTTGTCTGATAAGAGCACAGGAACACGCCCCTAGTGTAGGGGCGCGACGTCGCCCAAGTGCAGACTTCACCGTGCCGCAGCTGAGCCCACCGATAGCACACACGATGAAATGCCCGCCTTCGATTGAACCCCCGCAATGGATGCCCGGTGTGCGCGACAAGGGGCGAACACGTCCGAAAACGACGGAGACGGATGAAACGATACGACACGACGAGAAACGACACGGGAAACTAGAAACGATAAATTGAAGCGACACGACGCGAGAAAACAGAATAGGAGAAGGGAACACACATGCTCTCTCTCACCACAAACTCACACTCTCTCTCCTCATTTTCGAACCCCTTCACCCTCCCCCCCCTCCTCTCATCCTTGCAGTAGGCAGGGAGAGAGGAAGAGAGAGGGGAGGGACGGATTCTGCAGTGTTCGTGACAGAACGGGGCGGGGCAGGCGATGCGCGCGACGGGGAGGGCGCCACAGACGGGACGGGCAGGGCGCTATGGGCGCGCACGGGCTGGGCGCAGGGAGCGCGGGCGCGCAGGGCGCTGACGGGGGGGCAAAACAAGGCCGCATCTGACGTCGTCGAGCAGCTCGCCATCACAAGCAGCGTGATAGACGGAAGCTGCGTGACGGGCAGCACCAAGCAAGGAGCGACGGGGGGCGCCATGAAAGAAAATAAAGTGCAGGCCTAGGCGAACCAGGCTCTGGATACCATGTCAAGATCAAGGTAGCCTAGGTTTAGGAGAAATCTAGGCTAGGGTCGAGAGTAGCGAGAGTGTCCAGAGGGAAGAGGGGTTTCACTTATGAAAAGGGTACAAGATATAGGATAGGGAAGGTGGGAAGGGGGGTACACCACCCCAAAAATAGAGAATCTACAGTGATACTACACTAGTTAAGTTACATGCAGTTATATATATAATCTAACACCACCCCACCTCTCCTCCACGAACCCACCTTCCCCCAGGTCTGAACAACACTGTAACAAGTGGAGCCTTCTCTGGAGGCAACGTGAAGCGCACGGGAGGTGAAAGCATGCAGCATCAGCGTGCAGCTGCGAACGTGGGCAGCAAGGGGTTGGAAGTGAGCAGGACGTGGGAGACCCACATAAGAAGGGCGAAACTGAGGTTTCGTGACTTGAATGACTTGGGTGGACTTTCGCGTGGGACAGGTGGCGGAAGTGCAGAATTGAAGGAATAGAAATGTAACACGTGTGTGGTTGCTGTGAGCTGTACAAAGTGAGAATACATATGATGCTCAACCCCTGCACACGAATTTGCCCTGCATCGGATGGAAAGCCTGCACCCGTGTTTTTTTTCCCCAGCTAGTTGCACCCACGTTACAAGCACCTCGCGCGCAAGTTGCAGCGATTCTGAACCAATAGAAATGAAGGGATTGAAGTCAAACTGAAGAGACTGAAGTCAAAATGTCAACGGAGAAGTTACAATTACCTTTTTGATAGCTGCAAACTGACGAAACCTTTGCGAAATGCGCAAAATCACTTACAAGCCCCCTTCACAAGGCAACCTCGGGTTAGTCAAACGAGCATCATGTGTAGAAATAGGATGGGGCTCGATGTCGGGACTGATCACCCGAATCGACATTCCGAGCCGCATTTCTGAAATGTAAATACTGTACATTTAATCATGCATTCATAGGAATTAGAGAGTTGTTGTTGTTTCTCTTTCTGTTTGTTCTTCCTTCCTTCTAAAGGAAATTTCCTTAGAAAGAAATCTCAGCCTGAAACACTAGAACAAGCCTTAGAGTTGTTAAGCTTGTTCCAAACGCGCTCAAGCAACTCCTGCCAATGTCCATGATGACATTTTTGGCTGACTCAAAAGCCCTCTCCCCCTCACCCCCCATCCCCCCCTGCTCTCCCCCAGGCCAAAACAACACGTTCAAGCAGCTCCTACTAACGTCTAAGATGAAAGGTGTTGGTCTGGTGTTGGTGCTGGTGCTGTCTCTTCCCCACGTCGCCGTGTCTCTCACTCTCCCCCTTCCCCTAGGCCTGAACACTTCGCTCAAGCAGCTCCTGCAACGTCTAAGATGACATTTTTGTGCCCGAAAAACAATGCTTTTTGGAAGCTCACCGGTAACTTCTGATACTCAGAGGTCAAGCACTACCCCAATGTGCTGCTGCAGATCATGTCATACCACATGTGGAAGCAGCTATTTTCTGACATGGCGCTCTTTCCGCTCGATCCTGGAACGCATGTGAAAACGGCATGCAAGTGATTATTGAGTCGGTGTCATTCCATGTCATGAAGCAGCACTTTTACGACTCGAGGCGCTCCATGTCGTGTCGTTCCACATTCCATGTTTCACGTCGTCAAGCAGCGGTTCTACAGCTCGACATTCCACCAAGTATATGATGGTCAAGTCCAGTCCGGCACTAAGCCAGTTCCTGCTCCGTTCCTGCTCCGTTCCTGCTCCATTCTTGCTCCGTTCCTGCTCCATTCCTGCTCTTCTCTTGCTCCATTCTCGCTCCGCTCCTGCTCCATTCCTGCTCCGTTCTTGCTCCTGCAATTTGCCACCATAGATTATAAATATGTGATGGTGAAGACCGACTTCAAGCCCTCTGAGCAACTTGTGATAGATTCATTATTTCTTCCTTCCCCTCCTGCAGTTTCCTACTCTGGATTACCACAAATATGTGATGGAGAAGACAGACTTGAAGCCCTCAATGCTCAACAAGTCTAGAGCAGGAGTTTCAGAAGGGCTCATATTTACCGATCCCGGACCCATGTTATCGTGCATGGGGCTGATATGGTCATCATTCCAACCAAGATCCGCTGAAATGGATAGGAAAATGGACGGAAGCGACAACATGCGTATATACTGTTGATTTTGTTTTGTTCTCCATAGTACATTGTCTTGATGGGAAACACAGTAACTTGTAATGAATTATATAAGAGTAAGATGTTGGTCCAAGGACTCTTCCTCATCCTATGCACCATTGTATTCACATGTGAAAGGTGATGACACACATGTGACAAGAATCACCAGCTGATGTTTGAGAATGGTTTTTGGATGACATGGTGTTCAATTGTGTGTGCAGGCAGTAATGCACACACATGAAAATAAAGACTAATATAACGAATCAAATGAGAGAACCGAGGCGCGAAACGGGCTAGGCAAGCACCTCGGCTTCGGTTCGGGGCTGAGATAATTCGTCGAGCCTTGATACTTGACCCTTCGGTTCGATGTACGCGCTGTAATGGCCCACATTCACTTATCATCCTCAACCTACCTACGTCTGGAAGCCCAGCGAGCTTCAGACGTGTCTTGCGTTGCTGCACAACGTGGCACGCACCCATTCCCTGAGAATCTGATGAATTTGGGTTCGGGCTCGTGCAGGCAAATGTCGGGACGGGGAACCCGAACTTCCCCGATAGTGGACAAAACCGACCGTCTACTGTAACTGACGTCCGCGACGAACCGAATCAACCACCGACAAGTGAACACGTCCGCAAGAGCCGCCGAACCCTTTCAGGCCACCTAACCATTCCTACCTCACCACAAATGGAAGCTTCTAGTGCTGATTTGTTCGCCCCCACCTGCTTCCTCGAATCGCACAGTTTCGTTGTGTCCATCTCTCACAACCCAAGCACCGTTACTGCCCCTCGTAAACCCACACCACCTTGCATTAACAAAGCCAACCTGTCGTAACCTCCTTACATCCCGTATCGTTTTCATTGTACAGTAGAATCCATGGCCTTCCCAACCCCCTGTTTTCTCCTGTTTTCACGTTGTTCCCCTGCTGCCACCATCTCACTTCTACAGTGGCCTAAACGCGTCAGCTCTCTCTGCTTCCCAGCAAAACGGTGTCCATTCAAGCAGCATTCGCCGTGCGCAGTGCAGTCGGGTCATTTAGTAACTCCCGTACTTGATTCCTACAGTTTATTCGTCACCCCCGCAGCAAGAAAGCTTTCGTCACCCCCGCAGCAAGAAAGCTGTTACTTTTACCACGTTCTCTTACTCCCTAGTGCGAAGCTAATGCTTTGACATACTCGCTGTACGTTTGTCTCCGCCTTCCAGCCGAACTCGTATACAATTCGACACGAATACCTTTCACAGCGAGACCCTTACTTCTTACCTTCCGTACCGTCTTTTAAACGAAGGTCCGCGGACGTCTTTTACGAAGTTTCGCTGATTTCGCGAACGTCTTTTGCGAAGTTTCACTGATCTCGCGAGCGTCTTTTACGAAGTTTCTCTCACCATGGATCGAGCATCACGAAGACGCCCGGCGTTGCTTCTCGTCCTAGCTGCTGTCGTCAGCGTGCTCTGCCTCGCGCGAGTCGCGTCAGCTTATACCGGGTACCAGCAAATGGTAGCGAAGCTGAAAAAGAAGGGTTACAGCACGGCCCTTGCCGCGTGGCAAACGTCTGGTGAGTCGAAATACGCCGGTATGGCGACCAGCCGGTTAGGGGGACCAGCCGGTTAGGGGAACCAGTCGGTTAGGGGAAGCAGCCGGTTAGGGTACCCAGCCGGTTAGGGGAACCAGCCGGTTGGTTGGATGACAGGCCGTTAACGGGACAGTACTTTTAGGTGACTCGAATGGGCACTCATTGTGGTGCCGCGCAGTGCGATGCGACCGAACTCGTGCGCACTCTTCCTCCCAATCCCAATCTCCCTCTCTCCTCTCCCGCTCCCTCGTTCTCATGTCCCCGTGTTTCTCTGTTCCCCCCCCCCCCCCCCCCCCCCCCCATCCCCCCACCTCCCCCAGGCCTCATCAACACCTTCAAGCAGTACCTGCCAACGCCGCAGGTGCCGCTCTTTTCTCTTGTCCACGTCTCTCTCTCAACTCCCCCATCCCTTCCCCCTCCCCCCCCCCCCCCCCCCCCCCCCCCCCCCCCCCCTTCCAACTCCCACCCCGTTCTCCCCCAGGCGTGAACAACATCTTCATGCAGTATCTGCCAACGTCGCAGGTGACGGTGCTGGTGCCGCCTCTTTTTCACTTCCCCCGTGTCTCTCTCACTTAGCTTGTGTTTCTCTCTCTCTCTCTTTGTTCCCCCCACCCTCCCCCAGGCCTCAACAACACGCTGAAGCAGTACCGGCCAACGTCGCAGATGACGATACTGGTGCCGTCTCTTTCTCATGTCACCGTGTGCGTTTGTGACTCTCTTTCGCCTCCTCCCCCATCCCCACCATCTCAACAACACGCTGAATCAGTACCGGCCAACGTCGCAGATGACGATACTGGTTCCGCGCAACAGCGCGTCCGACAAGCTCACCGGAAACTACCTCTCATCTACCCTTTCTCCACCCCTCTGCCCCCACGCTCCCCCAGGCCTGAACAACACACTCAAGCAATGGCTACCAACATCGAAGATGACGATACTGGTGCCGCGCAACAGCGCGTTTGACAAACTCACGGGCAGCTATCAGTACTCGAAGCTCAAGAAGAACCCCAAGGCGCTGCTGCAGGTCATGGCGTACCATGTGTTCAAGCAACGCTTCTCCAACTCCACGCTGCAGGCGATTAAAGTCGGCACGCAGGTAAGAATGGCAGTAATTTTCGCTTTCTTTCTTAGGTGTGGTTTTCTCGGTGTGCCTCAAGCAGTGGTTGTTCAACCCCAAGCTAAGGAAGAACCTACCTGTGCCCCTCTTGTTCCCTCCCTCCCTACATCCGTCCACCTCCCATGCATGCGACACTGTAGCGAGATGATTCTCGAGATGGTTTGATGTGGTAACCCCCTCCCGTTCCTTACCTCTTGCTCCTGCAGTTTTCGGTACACTGGAGGTTCAAGTATGTGGTGGTGGTGATGACAGGCACCAAGCCAGCAAGGTTGTTCACCAAGAAAGGGGCACTTGAAAACTTATGCTCAGTCTTTCCTCCCCTCTCCGCCTTCTCTCTTGCTCCTGCAGTTCGCCACTCTGGATTACAAGTTTGTGATGCTGAAGACAGGCACCAAGCCAGCAAGGTTCACCAAGAAAGGGGCCGCTGGAGGAGCGAAGATCGTTGCTGGAGACTTGTATGTGGACCCACAGGTAATTGTGCATGGGGTAGATACTGTCATCATCCCACCCAAGATTGTCAAGTGATCGATGGGGAAGGGTGAGGGTATGGGCCTCTGTCGGGTTTAAGATTTTCTGTAGAGACTTGTATGTGGATCCATAGGTTATTGCTATGGTGTAGACAACCCCAGATTAATATGTAATGCACGGGCAAAGTGCAATTGATTTGGGAACTTGTCGAGCATGTACAGTACTTGGGCTGGTCGGGCCTTTGTAATGACAGTCGTAATTTGAACCTTTCATATACCGGTAAGATTCACAGAACACCTTTCAACATCGTAGAGAACGCACATATAGTGCATCAAGTGGATATGGCACTAGCATTGCTGAGGGGGAAAGCCTGGAATATACGCTCCAATATAAGATACTACCGTAGGTGCACTCACGAGCTGTACACTCCGATGGGCCAACCACAGAGCTTTATTACAAATATAAGACATGAATGTCTAAGCTCAGTTCGGTTTCCTTATTCCTCTCTACCGTCTCACCCTAGTACAGCTTGGGTGGCATAACCACCATGTTCACACCGTGAATCATCACGCGCGGATCTGAGTACACATTCGGGTCGATAATCAAAGCGCCAATTCTCGACCCTTTGGCACCCATGATCGGGCGCGTATCCTTGATTCGTGCCATGGTAAACTCGAAGTCTAGGGTAGGGACCTGCGATTGGTGGGGATGTGGGGGAGAGGGAGCGAGTTGAAAATACATGTGGTTTCGGACGGAGAGAGAGGGTGAAAGCGGGAAATGAAGAGAGGGGAAGCGAGGATGAAGAAGGAAATAGAGAGCGCGTCTTGAGAAGCCTCCTTGATAACCCCGCGATGCTCTTTACATGACGCGCCCCGGGCCCTATGCTCGATGCTCCTCAACTCCTCCTGAATTTTCTCCTGAAACTTTGCCGAAGCTTACCGTCCACCGTTCCTCCACCGCCCCGCCCGCCCCGTCCTTACCGTGGTTCCAACCGACAGCTCTTTAATCTCCAAGAAGCGCATCCGCGTGCGCAGCGTGTGGTACGCGAGGATCTGACGGAGCTTGTCGGGAGTCTTTTTCAGCCCCTTCCACGGCGCCGCCGTCAGCTTGTAAAACGCGCCGTTAGTGGGGACGAGAATCGTCACGTTTCTCGTCGGGAGGAGCTTGATCAGCGTGTCGTTCAGTCCCGAGATGCCAAGACCGTCGAGCGCGATCGAGTAGCCCTTGCTCTTTAACGCGTCAGCGATCCGCAGATAAGCGAGCCGCCCGGAGTATCCCGCTTGCGCCGCCACGCGCGGCGTGAATTGCGGCGAGGAGGAGAGGAAGAGCAGGAAGGAGATCGACAAGCAGAGGAACGAAGTTCGTCGGTCCATGGTGCGCTGCAGCTTAGCTCGATGCTCGATGCTCAATGCTGATGCTCGATGCTCAATGCTCTGCTGATGCTCGATACTCCTCGATGCGCGATGCTGATGCTAAATGCTCGAGGCACCTAAGAACACGGTTGACTCACTCTATGAGTCGGACTCAAAAGGATGCCCTGGAGTGAAACGGCTGGAGTAAATATAGGATTCGACTCGAGTCAATCTGACAGAGCGACAATGTCAAGAATTGTGTTCTAGGACTCTATTCTTAGCCAAACAATTATACTTGAGCGGGTATTAGAACTACCAGCAGCACTAGCTATCGAACAAAGGAGCTGTGTGCCATGTCGGTAACGACACCTAGCAATGCATATGGAGACGGAAAGGCGTAGGATGGATAGACAAGCGTAGTATGTATGGAGAGGTGGTGGGGAAGGCAACTTTAGGGGAAGGGATGGTGCTGAACCAGGTGGCGGCTAGTGGGGCTGGTGGTGCTAGTGGAGGGCTGCGTGTGCCAGCTGAAATACTACACTTCTGATACGGTGGGGAGAGATGCGTTGTGCGCTAGAGCGGTTCGTCGCGGTTAAGTAGGGTTAAGCACACATATCAAGTTGTATGCAGCTCCTACAATCCGGTTGATATGTGTGCTGGATCTTGGAAATTGAGAGTGGGATGGACGGGACGTTTGGATTGGAGGTCCCGAAACGCGCGCGGTTCGTGCGTGGTTGATTTCTGCGCCGCGAGGGTGGATGCGGGTGGGAGCAGCTCACCTACAAATTGGAATGAAGAAGGTGTGGCACCACCACGAAAGGGAAAATATGTCAATGGTAACTTATATGGGGCACTATAACGTGTTGTTACATGTCAATTACATGTTGTTTTAACGCGTTTGGTAACTCGCTTAACGCGTTCGGTAACTATACACTAGCACCCGATCACGCGAATGGTAACTAGAAGAAACCCTCGCCCAAAATGATATCGATTCTGGTTTTTCCCGCCCGCGCCAGACTAAAATGACGAATCTTGATGCACCAAGTTCTGACACAATTCTCGAAATTCTGACACACTTTCCGAAACACGGGTTTCTTACAAACACGTGTCTGTTGTGAAAACATTTTAAGACCTCAAAGCTATTATCGCGCTCGTCCGTAACATTGTACAAATATCATTCTACTGACCTTCCGACTGCCAAAAAAAAAGATAATTTTGACATAGATAGAGCCATTTCATATCTTTTTTAAGCTTGGACAAATAATACTAACGAATAAATCATATTTTTGCTAGCATAATAGCATATTTGTAAAATGATGAAAAATTCCCGATAATGCAACAATATTTTGGCAATTATTGTAACATGTGATAATTTTGCGTTCGAGAAAAAATACACCCTTTTCGAATGACATGCCTTCAAAAAAATCCAAGTGCCTTGTCGCACGATTTTAGGGTTGATGCTATCAAAATCATTTGCTGTCGGAAAAGGAGAATTTTGCTCAATTTCGCGGAATCGCGCTTCGTTTTTTTTTTTTTTTTTGCCACGAGGCATGCGTACGATCGCGCGAACCGCGATCTGTTTTATTTTTTCCTCAAATTTCAAGGGAATTTTAGTTAAGTTTAGTGGGTCACATGTACTGCGCTGCCGGCGGGCAAAAATAAAACCCATTTGGGCTGGCATGAAAATTGTGGTAACGATAAAACAGATCGCGGCTTGCGCGATCGTAGGCATGCCAGGTGGCGATAATAAAACAAATTGCGCTTCCGCGGAATTGAGCAAAACTCTCTCGGAAAGGGCTATCTAGTGTTTAGAGCTTGGAAGTACGACAGCATTATATTTGTACAAATTTATAAACGCGCGCCAGAAAAGCAATATTTTTTTAAACAAGTTTCTGCATTAGATACATTGTGAAACAATTATTCGTTTTTCGAAAAGAGTGTCAGAATTTCGAGAATTGTGTCAGAACTTGGTGCATCAAGATTCGTCATTTTAGTCTGGCGCGGGCGGGAAAAACCAGAATCGATATCATTTTGGGCGAGGGTTTCTTCTAGTTACCAATCGCGTGATCGGGTGCTAGTGTATAGTTACCAAACGCGTTAAGGCTGCGGTCTACATACTTCAAGGGACAGGCAAAGGTTTATCACTTGGAAACAGGGTAACCCTTTCTCCACAAGTGCCCCTTTGCGGAGAAACGAACAATCGAGGCGGAGGGTTTCGGGAGGGGGGTTGGAGTTCCCAAACCAACAGCGGAAACGATTTCGCTAGTTTAGAACTTGAGCTACTTCGCGCGTGAGTTTGTATACCAAAACTCGGTAGTGACAGCCCAGCCTGTCAGAAATAACTGAGCAGGAATGAATGAACTAGCACAGAGTTTGGTACAAGTAGGAAACCCTAACTTTGTGTACCCCCTAAGGTGTAACCCACTACAGCCTAGACAATATAAACATGCAATGTTTGACACACCCCCATAGGCGCAGTGGGAAACAACCACAGGGTCACAAGACCAGTCAAAGCAAAGCAAAACAAGCTCAGGGTGGATCTCAAGGATACCACACAAATTCCGAGCACAAGCAAGTGGTCACAAGACCAGTTCACATGCAGGTTGATAATATAACAAGAGATACAGTGATAACAACCTAGCAAGTGTAAACATGCAGGCATATATATATAGTGATCACAGTACAAGTAAGGTCAAGAGGTAAGCAAGTGAGGCCCAGTAGGTACAAGGCCTAGCAGAGTGCAAAAGCGCTGATGGTCACAAGGCTGAAGCGCCTTGGTGAACACATCAGCAGTGTTGGCCTCCGTGGCCACGTAACGCAGACAAAGCTGACCACGCTGCTGCAGCTCTCGAGCAAGGAAGTACCGCAGAGCGATGTGCTTCGTTCTGTGCTCCAGTCTGTGCTCCTCACACAAGGCAATGGCAGCCTTGTTGTCGACGTACAGCACTGGAGGAGAACGAGGCCGCTCTCCGAGGTCGGTCAGCAGGTAGGTCAACCAGCGTAGCTCCTGAGCAGCCATGGCTGTGGCGTAGATCTCAGCCTCACAACTGGAGCTGAGAACAGAAGAAGAGCGAGTAGAACGCCAAGAAACTGAGCCAGAGCCAAGGCTGAAGGTGTAACCCTGGGACGACCGCTGAGTAGCCTGGTCGTCTGCCCAAGAAGCGTCTGAGTGCCCTGTGAGAACAACCTGGTCTCGCCCTCCAAGCACAAGCCCCATGCCCGACGTACTGTACAAGTAGCGCAACACCCTCTTAGCAGCATCCATGTGCTCCTTCCGGTGACGGCCAGGAGCGACATAGCGTGCTAGGATGCTAAGAGGGTATGCAAGGTCAGGTCGAGTGCAGGTCATCAGGTACATGAGGCAGCCCACAAGCTCTGGATACGGGCCACTCGGCTCTACGGACTCATCCGAAGGCAGAGCTGAGAGCGAGTGACCGGTAGGCAGAGGAGTGGACTGAGGCGAGGAGTACGTGAAGCGGAAGCGCTGGAGGACCTGCTGCACCATGTGTGACTGAGTCAGGGTGATGGTGCGCCGTGCTCTGTCCCGGGTGATCCGCAAGCCAAGATAGCTCGTCAGCTCACCCAGGTCTGTGCACGTGTGTCTCCTCTGCAGCTCCGACTTCACGTGAGCGAGTGCCGCGGTGTCAGCAGTGGCAAAGACCAAGTCGTCGACGTACACGAGAATGTAGAACGGCGGCAGCGAGGTGTCGGTGCGTAGAAACAGCGACGGGTCAGCAGTAGAGGGAGCGAACCCAAGAGCCGCAAGTGTCGTCCTCAGTGTGTCGTGCCACTCACGTGGCGCCTGGCGGAGACCGTAGACCGGCCGCTGGAGCCTCCACTGGGTGCCAGGAGGAAATGACCCAGTGAAGCCAGGGGGGCGGCGCAGCCAGATCTCCTCGTGCAGGCTGCCCTGCAAGAAAGCAGTGCTGAAGTCAAGAGAGTGAAGCTCGTAGTCGCGGTGAGCGGCTATGTGCAGCAGCACCCGAAGAGTAGTCATCTTCGGGGTGGGGGAGAAGGTCTGAAAGAAGTCTACTCCCTCTCGCTGACTGAAGCCTCGAGCCACGTAGCGCGCCTTGAAGACAGGTGGAGAACCCGGAGGCCGCTTCACCCTGAAAATCCACATGCCACTGACGATGTTCGCCCCAGGAGGGGGAACCTCGTCTACGTAGGTGCCTGTGGACTTCCAGGAGGCCATCTCTGCGTCCATGGCTGTCTGCCACTGAGAGGAGTAGGGACCCGCCATCGCCTCAGCGTAAGAGCGTGGGGTCGGGATGTCTGGTGCATCCGGGTCTCCCTCAGGGGCAACTAGCAAGGACACGAGACGGGGCAAAGCAGCAGCAAGGCAGTGGAACTCCTCCTGTCTGTCCTCAAGGACGTCCGTGCCGAGGGCACACTCACCCCCGACGGACGGAGGACAGGCAGACGCAGACTCAGACCTAGCGACAAGGCTGGCAGCGTAGTCTAGGCGACAGCGAGCAGCAAAGTCAACCAACTCAGCGACCAGGGCAGACGCAGCAGAGGACTCAAAGGTCGGGTCAGTGACAACTGTAGCGAGGAGACGCGTAACAGTGGGACTGGCAGCACGACGGGAGTCAGACTCCGGGTCAGGAAGAGTAGGAAGGGAGGACGCAGGAGGAGACGGCAGCGGGACACGCTGCGGAGCAGTGGAGGGACGCAGAGTCATGTAGTGAGTGCCAGGGACAGGAGGAGGACGCTCACGTGGGACACGACGACCAGTGCGAGCAGTACGAACAGGCGACGCAGGACGAGACTCAGGCTCACGACGCTCTGTAAGACCTCCTGTGGGACCAGCGTAAGGGGAGGGAGCAGGGAGAGGCGAGACAGGCGGTAACTGTGACTGCGGCTGGACAGGCAGAGGACACTCGACGGAGGGAGGAGGACAAGGAGGAGGAGCCTGACCAAGAACCTGCTGAAGGAGCGGTACGAAGTACGGTCGCGGCCGCGCAGCGTCTCCAGAAGCAGCAGGGACACCAGTGGCAGCCCCAACGCCCGAGTCCTCA